GGTTGGTGACACAGCGTAATCACTGATTTATATATTGTTGGTGACATAGGGTAATCACTATAATATATATTGTTGGTGACATAGGGTAATCACTGTAATATCTATTGTTGGTGACATAGGGTAATCACTGTAATATCTATTGTTGGTATATTGTTGGTGACATAGGGTTATCACTCTGATATCTATTGCTGGTGACATAGGGTAATCACTGTAATATATATTGTTGGTGACACAGGGTTATCACTGTAATAAATAATGTTGGTGACATTGGGTAATCACTGTAATATATATTGTTGGTGACATAGGGCTATCACTGTAATATATATCGTTGGTGACACAGTGTAATCACTGTAATATATATTGTTGGTGACATAGGGCTATCACTGTAATATATATCGTTGGTGACACAGTGTAATCACTGTAATATATATTGTTGGTGACATAGGGCTATCACTGTAATATATATCGTTGGTGACACAGTGTAATCACTGTAATATATATTGTTGGTGACATAGGGCTATCACTGTAATATATATCGTTGGTGACACAGTGTAATCACTGTAATATATATTGTTGGTGACATAGGGTTATCATTGTAATATATATTGTTGGTGACATAGGGTAATCACTGTAATTTCTATGGTTGGTGACACAGGGTAATCACTGATATATATATTGATGGTGACATAGAGTAATCACTATAATATATATTGTTGGTGACAAAGGGTAATCACTGTAATATATATGGTTGGTGACACAGGGTAATCATTATAATATATATTGTTGGGGACATAGAGGTATCACTGTAATATTTATTGTTGTTGACACATGGTTATCACTGTAATATATATTGTTGGTGACATAGGGTAATCACTATAGAATATATTGTTGGTGACATAGGGCTATCACTGTGATATATATTGTTGTTGACACAGGGTAATCATTATAATATATATTGTTGGTGACATAGGGTTATCACTGTAATATTTATTGTTGTTGACACATGGTTATCACTGTAATATATAATGTTGGTGACACAGGGTTATCATTATAATATATATGGTTGGTGACACAGGGTTATCACTGTAATATCTATTGTTGGTGACACAGGGTAATCACTATAATATATATGGTTGGTGACATCGGGCTATCACTGTAATATATATTGTTGGTGACACAGGGTTATCAATGATATATATATTGTAAGTGTCACATGGTAATCACTGTAATATATATTGTTGCTGACATAGGGTAATCACTGTAATATATAATGTTGGTGTCACAGGGTAATCACTGTAATATATATTGTTGGTGACATAGGGTAATCACTGTGGTATTTATTGTTGGTGACACAGGGTCATCACTATAATATATATGGCTGGTGACACAGGGTAATCACTGTTACATCTATTGTTGGTGACACAGGGTAATCACTGTTAAATCTATTGTTGGTGACACATGGTCATCACTGTAATATATATTGTGGGTGACACAGGGTAATCACTGTGACATATATTGTTGGTGACATAGGGTAATCACTGTGATATCTATTGTTGGTGACACAGGGTAATCACTGTAATATATATTGTTGGTGACATAGGGTAATCACTATAATATATATTGTTGGTGACATAGGGTAATCACTGTAATATATATTGTTGGTGACATAGGGTAATCACTATAATATATATGGTTGGTGACAAAGGGTAATCACTGTAATATATGCTGTTGGTGACATAGGGTAATCATTATAATATATATTGTTGGTGACATAGGGTTATCACTGTAATATTTATTGTTGTTGACACAGGGTTATCACTGTAATATTTATTGTTGGTGACATAGGGTAATCACTGTGATATCTATTGTTTGTGACACAGGGTAATCACTGTAAAATATATTGTTGGTGACATAGGGTAATCACTGTTATATATATTGTTGGTGACACAGGGTGATCACTGTAATATCTATTGTTGGTGGCATAGGGTTATCACTGTAATATATATTGTTGGTGACACAGGATTATCACTGTAATATCTATTGATGGTGACATAGGGCTATCACTGTGATATATATTGTTGGTGACATAGGGTAATCACTATAATATATATGGTTGGTGACACAGGGTAATCACTGTAAGATATGCTGTTGGTGACATAGGGTAATCATTGTAATATCTATTGTTGGTGACATAGGGTAATCACTGTAATATATATTGTTGGTGACATAGGGTTATCACTGTAATATCTATCGTTGGTGACACAGGGTAATCACTGTGATATCTATTGTTGGTGACATAGGGTAATCACTGTGATATCTATTGTTGGTGACATAGGGTAATCATTGTGATATCTATTGTTGGTGACATAGGGTAATCAGTGTAATATCTATTGTTGGTGACATAGGGTGATTCTAATCACTGTAATATATATTGTTGGTGACATAGGGTTATCACTGTAATATCTATCGTTGGTGACACAGGGTAATCACTGTGATATCTATTGTTGGTGACATAGGGTTATCACTGTAATATATATTGTTGGTGACATAGGGTAATCACTGTTATATATATATTGTTGGTGACATAGGGTAATCACTGTAACCAGGGTAATCACTGTAACCAATATTTTCCCAAGATATTCCATGAATCAGTTTCACTATGTATAATTCTGTATAAAAGTTTTATTCTGCTAATTTGAATGATTGTGTCTATATCAATCATTGACAACCCTCCTTCTGCTCATTCCATGTAGCATGTTTGTTTTGATACTTTTTTTTACTATGAAGACTTTCCTTTTAACGATACCTCTATTTTTCAATGTAATGCTAATATTTTCTATTTTACGTATTTTACATCCCATATTCTGTTCTTGTTTATTTTATAGCCATGTAATATGCCTAGTGCTTAACGTTACCTTTCATCAAAGTTATAGCTCTAAAGTTTGGAGGCCTCTGTTCCAACAGCCTATATATGTACCCCTTTAGTCTTTTTAAGATTAATTTTTGCACCTGAAGCTTTCTCGTATTTGGCAAGTACTTCAACTATTATTGGTATTGACTTTGCTTTTCGTATACATAATTGCGAATCGTCTGCAAAGGACTATGTATGGTTTAGGCGTGTTTTGGCCCCCAAATGCATCAAAATTCAAAACCTTTGAAATGACTGTTTCTTTTATTTTAAATATTTCCCAAACACTGTCATGAATATATGTATTTGTATTTCTAATTATTGTTGCCATGGTAACAAGTTCAAATTTGCATGAATTAGAAAAAATTGAATATTCAGTGAATTTTGTCATATTTTGCATAGNACCTCCAAGGATAATTCTGACCAAGTTTGAAAAAAATCCATCCACTGGTTNCAACAAACTCAAAATCAAAGGTTAATGAGTAGGCACCTGTAATACATCTTTAGGAGAAATATAAAGTTTTGTTCAAGGGTGCGCTCTATGTTAACGAAGAGAAAAAAAAATCAAAAAAATCCGGTATTAACAGCTCGCTATCATAGTGAAGAACTGTGATAAATGACCGTTTATGAGCATACAGCTTTGAGACTTTTTATACGTCATGCTTATCCATCTGATCATATTTTCCCCAAATTATGTTTTTAAACTTTTTACCAACCATCCCCATTCTACTCTTCCAAAAAATAGTTTGTTGATCTAAAACGATTATTGACCCATCTTTGTTTTCTGAATCCACATATTCCATTATATCTGATATCAATCTTACCGAAAACCCCTCTTATCCATGTATTATTTTAGGCAAAATATGTTTTAACGCAAAGCTTAAATCTTGGTAATAATCCAAGTCGGTATTTAAAAGTGGAAGTGGAATCCAGTTCGCAATATCTTTTTGTTCCCCTTGTTTATACTTAAGCATAATTACTCCTTTGTATTGTGTTGTTGATTGTTCTTTTTCATCAAATATTTCTCGTACTTCCTCTATGAATTCATTCTTAATTGTAATCTCACTTGTAACCTTAAAATAATGCTACAGGCAAAATATCAGCATCTCCAAGTCGTTCAAAAGAACCTGTTAAAACACATTAAACCCCTGTGACCTTAGAGGTCAATTTAACTTTACATTGTAAAGCCCTTCATCCCAGCATACAACTTGCCATATATCATCATCAAAGACATTTTGTTTATGAGGTCATTTAAAGGTTTATACACCTTTGACCATGACATTGAAAGGGTGTCAATGTCATTCATTTGAACAAACTCGATAGCTCTTCATCTGAGCATGATACTGGTTAAAAATTTGGAAAGTTTAAAGTATTAAACATATTTTACCCTGTGACCTTGAATAGGGGTGAAGGTCATTCTTTTGTACTTAAAAGCCCTTCATTCCTGCGTGCTGTTAGTCAAATACAAACAGCATGGGCCTCTTGGTTATTCATAAGGTTTTTTTGAGATTATTCGAGATGTTTGACCCTTGTGACCTCGAGTATGGGTGAAGGTCAATCATTTGAACAAACTCGGTAACCCTTCATGCTACTGGCCAAATATCATCCCCTGGGTGTTTCTGTTCTTCAGAAGTTGTCAAGTTATTTTTTTCCCAAATCAAATTACCATAACCTTGAATATGAGTGAAGGTCAATCATCTGAACAAACTTTGCAACCCTTTATACCCTGGGTCTTTTCGTTATTCAAAAGCTGTTGAAGATTTTTTTAAAACATTGACCCCTATAACCATGAGTTTGTACCTCTTTGTCCCAGCATGCTACTGGCCAGATCTCACTATCCTGGGCCTTAAATGTTATTCAGAAGAATTCAAACTTTGTTATTTCTATTTTGTGTTAATGTTGGCCATTTATCAATGTGATATTATAATTTGTTAACTTCAATGACTGTCATTATCTCATATATCACATTTCTCGTAACAATATGGGCAATCAAACCTTATCATTCATTTCAACAACCATCATATCTCAGAAATTTCTCGAGATTTCTTGTCACATAGTAGACTACCAATACTATTATAACAAAGACCAAGAGTCAGTTTAAATGATTTTATTCACATATTTACATACTAAGTATAATTATTACAGGATATTCCACATTTGATCACGAGAGAAAAAGCTGCCTTATAATTTATAACACATCATCGGTGTGTTCACAGTCAATAACATGATGCAGGTAATACACTAGACATCCACAAGTATTAACATAATTGATTTGCCCTTCATACGCCTCTATGGAGTATTCATCATATCATACACAAACTAGCACATGCAGCCAATCAGATATCAAGGAAAATAATATTCTTTTCTGTAGTGCCCATCATTCCAAAGATATAACATACACGTTTTACAATACACAACTCAAACTTGTTAACCGTCTCCATAGAATTTGATTGCACTAAAAGATCATGGGGTTCAGTAATAACAGAATCTGTATAGGACACTGAATATTTCCAATGAATCATTCACTTTTAGTTAAGGTTTCTAAACCGATTCCTATTCATGAACAAACTGGTTCTTAACCAACATTCTGTTGCAATTATTATAGCTGTACTTTTCCTCACATCTGATAATGTAGCTACCAGGTATGTGTCGATGGTTGGGTAGTCTTAATTTCAGCAACCAACTCCTTTATATTTTATGTTTTTCATGAGTGAATGTTTTTTGGAAAAATTGGCCTACATTACAATGAATGTTGACTAATTAAAGTTTCTGTATCTACCTGGGATAAATACATCATGCAGGACTTACCTATTACATACAATGATAGACACAATACTGTATAGCATGATATTTCCACAGGGATGATATTTTTGTGATTTGGCGGGTCAATAACTTTGTCGCTAAATATGATCCACAGAATAATAAACTTCATAATCATAATGATACACTTACTTGCCACTCAATGAGCTGTAATAAAGCCTATTCCTTTGACACCTAGTGCACCATCTTCTGTGCTAAAACATCGACAAAAATTAGTTCCTTCACATGTGTTTATTGCGAAATTATAATCTATGTAAATTTACTTTATTTTTGGTAAAAATCCCGAAAATTTAAGCCCACAGAAATAATCTGTTGTACAGTATCTTTCTTTTCATCATCAAAATTTGTTATTCATTTTTTTCAAAATCACGTCCCATCAGAATGATGTGTTATGAAATATTAACAACACAACCAAAAGATGTTGAAAGTTGCTGTTTGAAGTGATACCCTTTTATTTGTGTTGACCTAACTTTTACCACATAACATCATTTCAAACAACTTGTAAATGTTTGTTGAAATAAATGTTTCATGAATAGATTCATTTGAAAAAATGGAAGTGTATCATTTTCCCATTTTTAAAAGATATTTCATATAAAAAACAAATAAATATCTACCACAGTACAAATAGATTTAACACAATTCAAATTATGGTTATTGTATATGACTGACATATCCATACAACACCAAGAGTCTTCCTCGTCTACACATAACAACTTCCATCCTAGTAACAACATCAATACAACATCTAAACATCACGTAACCCAGTCAGTGTCTACAATCTGTACTTACAGCCACAAACAGCTAATGTGTTTTGTTAGGGGTTCAATCAGTCCACATTTCCAGAAGAATCTGAAAGAGTTTATGAACAGTTAGTAACATAAGAGGAAACGTTGTCTTTGAGAGGACAAATCTCCTATTCCCTTGTATCCTGTTGGATAGCATTGCATGCCTCTTGCGCCAAGTACAGGGCAGACAGCAAATTGTTCAGCTACCGCTGTTGTAGAGATTCCGAGCCTAAAGACAGGGTATGGTTTATCTTTAACAAATGTTTGTCTAAAATCCAACTCAGTGTTTTGGAGGGTTTCTAGTTCTCATTGCGTAAGGTCCCTTGGCTGCGGCAGCCTGTTGCTGTGGCGACTGTGCTACACTCACAAGCCCCTGGGCAGTGCCCTGGGGCAAGGCCTGCACAGCTGCTGCTGCCGCCTGTGCTGTTACAGCACCAACTGGCAGCAGAGTCTGCTGGGGAGGAACATTAGCTGTTGACTGTGGTATAGTCGTCACTTGGATCTGTGTAGCAGTCTGTGGAGCTGATGGTGCCTCCTGCTGAACAGGGGCTGGTATTGTCTGTAGTATGGTTGCTGTTAGGGCAGGTGATTGGCTCGAGGGAGCCACTGTCACAGTGAGTGGCTGTTGGATGGCAGGCGCTGCAACTGTGGTATGCACCTGCTGTAGGGTGGCTGGTGTGACCTGAATCTGTTGTATGGTTTGGGAGGTGGCCGCTGCCTGAGAAATGGTAGCAATCTTTGCCTGTTGTGGAGCAACAGAGTGGACCTGAACTGCCTGTCGTGGGTCAGCTGACAGGGTAGACACCACAGTAGGTTTTGTTGCCTGGGATGATGCAGTTGCCAGACTCAGAGTAGCCACAGACATTTGTGGTGTGCCAGTCACGATCGTTGCATGGGCGACTGGATGAGATGCGGCTGTGATTGTCTGGAGGTGACTTGACTGTGTTGAAGACGTACTGAGCACTTTGTGCACTAGTTGACCCTGCTGGCCCTGTGTCACTGTGGCAATGATGGTGGGCTGCGACGTGATGATCATGCCACTGCCAGGGTTACGTTTCACTAGCTGCTGAAGCTGGTAGGTGACATTCTGACCAGTGGAGGGCTGCTGGATAATCTGTACAGCATTGAGGGGCAAAGGTTTACCCACTTGTCCTAGGGCTACAACACAATCAGTACTCATTTTAAAGAAGACACAACATGTACATTGAAACTAATAACTGTTCAACAACCACATTGGTGGTTGACAAACCAGACAGTGACATAAGAAACAAGAGGCCCATGGGCCTTAACGGTCACCTGATATATTTATACAGAGAGTTGATTTTGTTTTTAACACGAACAGAAATATTATTCAGTGACAAAAAACAATAAAACCACCTTATTCAATATCTAGCATACAGATTTAAGACTAAAAAGTATTTGAAACTAGCACCTCTGATTCTAAACAAGAAAAAATGAAGAAATTTTAGCACACAGACTCCTTTGGGCCCCACCCTACAGCCCTTGGGGGTAGGGCTGGCTCAATAATTTCAAATGATCTAACTGTCAACACAGGGTTATAATTGAAATCAAGTTATTAACATGTAATATTCAAAGTAGCATTTGCCATTATAAACCATAATAAATAAACCTAAGACCCTTCCATCTATGAAGAGTATTTGATTCTACCATATCTAGGTCTTGAGAAGAAGATTTTTGAAATTTCAGTCAATTCGACCCTTTTTGGCCCCACCCAATAGCCCCGGGGGGTCAGTCAGGGCTCATATGTGCATACCATCACACTGCTACCCAATGCTGATAATGCTAACCTAAATCTGACCTTTGTCTCAGGTGACCTAAAAATCAGGGTCACAGTATTTTTACCCTTCGAAAGTAGATATGGAAATAAGTTTTACTTTTCTTAAACACACATAAGAGTCATCAGAGAGGCTAATAAGAACACACATCTACATTACAAACCACAATCAAACTCATTCCTTACATCTAAAATCCTCAAATTTCCAGTGAATATTCGTATCAATTGAAATGTGTCCTTAGTGGTGTGATGGAAATGCCTTTCCCACATATACTGTTCTATCACCAGTTCAATACAATTATTTCAGAGAAATTAATAGGCTATCAAATTCATGGAATGACAAAATAGAAAACTATCCACTGGCTTTAACTAGCATTATTACCTTCACTTGAAGAATCGTGTTACTCAAATATCTAGCATATTTCTTCTCCAAATAATCCTCACCCATGAGATACCTACATGTTATTTTAGACGGCTGCTGCAGTGGTCGCTTTGGCGGATTAATCAGTTGCATATGTTTGAGTTGTGATGATTGGAGTTGGTTAATGGTCGTAGCTTTGGCTGCAACAGAAAATACATGCCAAATCTTATTCAAACTGTGTGGTGAATTTGTTTTCTTTTTAAATCTACAACAAGCATCACTAGGCTTTTCCTGATAAGAAAAGTGTTTCCCATCATTTTTGAAACAGCCCTTAAACAAATTATTTTCTAATGTACACCAAATACCTATATAACTGTTTAATTACATCTGCATGAAAATTCAATATTGCATTTGAATACTAGAATCAGAGTTTCCTCTTATGACATGATGGTTGAATTGACAAAAAGTTGTGTTCTCTACTTACAGGGTCATACTGAACCAAACCATAGAAAAATGGTCAACAATTGGTGTCAAAACAGATCAAACAAATTATGAGTTTGCAAAAGGAAATTGTCTAACAGATTGTTGTAACTCCATTTTTCAACTTTTCAATTTTTGAATTTTCAACAAGGGACCTGGGAGTACAATGATCAATTATAACACCAAGCCTAAAATCCACCGGGAGTTTGTTGAATGGAAAGAAATAAGGATATTGAAGAATATTTTAAAACATGCAATGGCAGTAGGGCACAATCTATTCTGTTTAATAGATTATCAATCTATAGATCAAACCAGCAGCCTGATTTCATATTAGAGATTTAAGATTTCAATCACAGATAACATTTGTGAAGTTTCTACTCCTTTGAATAAAATACAAGAGAAAAGAACTAAGGAAGAGGACAGGAAGGTCTGGACATGAGAACACTATATCCCCTACATATAAATAGCAGGTATATAAATCAAGTGTATTTGTGGTGAGACTACTTACCCACACCAGCCTTCTGTTGGGGAAGCTGCGTGATCTGGATGGGAGTGCCTGCGGCGGAAGTCTTGACAGCTGTGGTCAGTGTGGCTGGCTGCCCAACCTGGTGGACCTGAGCCTGTATAATCTGGGTTGTAGGGATCTGCAGAACAACACAAGAACTTGATTGACATTGATAAGAGACATCTTCTTCAGCCACATGTAAATTCAATTATGTCCTTCTAAACTGAACATACTTCTTTATAATAATAATAATATACAGCATTTATATAGCGCCCTATATAATTTGTAAAATTACTCTAAGGCGCTTTACAACATATGGATAATAGTAATGGTTATAATTGTGAAAACAAACAACAAAGGCTTGCAATCACTTTCATACATTTAACAAGCAATGTGCAA